GTCCATAGTTCATCAGGCACTCTGTCTATCAGATCTAGTCCCTTAAATCTATTTCTCACTTCCACTGTATAGTCATAAGGGATTTGATTTAGGTCATACCTGAATGGTCTAGTGGTTTCCCCTACTTTCTTCAATTTAAGTCTGAGTTTGGCATTAAGGAGTTCATGGGTATATAGTATGTATTAAAATTAACACATATGTCCTGTGTCTATATAAGTGTGTTGTATATATATGCATGTATATCTCAGTATATATGTTTTCTATATAATAACAATATATATGTACACTTATCTCCCTAAATCCTCACCTAATATTCAACATAAGCAACTTTCAAATAAAGTAGGCAACAGTAGTTTTTTGTTATTGTTTGTATTGAGTTTCTTTCACTTCTAATAAAATTAGTTATTTCCCGTAAACCTCTTGACTTGAGATTTATTGTGTAAATTGTCCTTATCCTTTCTTCCAGTTATCTACTAGGGTTGTATTTCTTTAAAATGTGTAGAGTTTTTAGTGGACTGAAGATGTTATTCTTTACCTACCATTTACTGCCGACATTTTACCAGTGTGACATTTGTAAAAGCACTTGAAGGTTTTAGGTATCCTGATCAATTGATCTGACTTTTTTTAAAATTTGGAAAATCTTTTTTTTATTACAAGATAGTTTAAGTATTTGTTCTGATACTTACAGTTTAGTCTTTTTAAAATAACTTTTTATCTACCTAGAGTTTATGTACCTTATAAGGTTCGGCTCCATAATTTTTTCTTTTTTCCATTGATCGAATAATTCATCAAAAACTCATTAATTTTTGTGTTTTCTTTTTCATGTTTTGTTACTACATATACTTGAATTTATTTCAGAACTGTCCACTACATTTCATTCATTTATATTTTGAGTCATAAATCATTATCCTATAATTTGAATTAAATTTTATTATTTTAATATACTTTAATAACCACTAGGGCATATTTACCCCTTCTGATACTTTGATTCTTGGTTTATTCTCTAAAATAAAATTTAGGCTCTTTTTTTTTTCAAATATCTTTAAAAAATGCAGACAACTTTTGATTGAAATTGAGTTAAACCTATAAATTTATTTGGGTAGAAATGAACACAATTTATTGAATTAACTTCTCAAACAGGAGCATTTTATGTTCATCAGTGAAGCTTTACTGTTTCCTGTGTATGATTATCAAACATTTCTTGACAATGTTCAAGAGCATATTACTTTTTGTTGTTACTATGATCACTTTCTTTGTCTTTTGTTGTATCTACTGAGGAGTCAGTGCTATTGAATAGAAAAACTAATCTATATAAACATGCTTTACAATATGTCTTGTTAGCATGACAGCTTCTTACTGGTAAGAAGTTTTTTCATTGGTACACATGACTAGTGAGTGACTAGACAGAGAAATGGAATTTTGTTCCTCTTGGTTGATATCTTGCATTTTCTTAATATTCTTCATGGTAAATGTTATTTTTGGCAAATAAATATCATGATCTGAAGCAAAGAAGCCCAGTGCTGTTACAACCCTGGAAATAACTCTATAATATCTTATAGTCTGTGTTTTTATAAAAATCTATATTTGTAACTTTGGGGGCATATTTCAGATTAAATATTTTTTGCTCCTTAGTACTCTCATATTTTTGTGATTTATCAAAACAATTTGAAATTATTGAAATATTTTGGCCTTCTGGTTCTTATCATTTTTGACAGTAGGCTAGGCTACACTAGTAGATTTCTGCAGGATATTTTGTTAATAAACTAGAAGCTTATGCCTTGTAAATAAAGCTTAACTTGGTATAACATCTCTCTAGAATGTTCCTGACAAAGACTAGGAAAGCTATACATTAGCAGACTTGTTTAGTTACACAGTGATATTAAAATATCTTCAAAACAATGAGTAATTGAAATATTAGCTATCAAGCCAAAAGTTGATTTTATTTTTCAATCTGTTTGCAGGACACAAGTTAACCTTAAAAATGCATTCTAATATACAGTAGGTACCGACAAATACTTTTTGATTCCAGTATACAAGGTGCTTAGAATTGTTAAATTCATACAATCAGAAAGTGCATTGTTAGATGCAAGAGGTAGGGGCAAGGTTGGGGAGGACTTAGTGTTTAATGGGGACAGTGTCAGTTGAGGAAAGTGAAAGATTAGGGAGATGGCTGATGGTGAGAGTTGCACAACAATGTGAATGAACTTAGTGCCATAAAAATATACAGTTTAAATAGCATGCTATGTGACTTTTACCACAATAAAAAAGAATTTTTAAAAAGAGCTATATTACTTTAGATATGTTAATTTATATTCATGAGGGCTATTTGATACCTTACTGTTTAAACATAGGTTTGAAAAAGCCTATTATTCTTTAAAAGAAGGAGTAGATATTGTTGCCATGTAAATAGGTATCATTTAATTTGCTGTCAAGAATTTTCTGGCAAAATTTTAATTTACTTGCAAGAATACACAGAAGAACTATACAAAAAAGATCTTCATGACCCAAATAATCGCGATGGTGTGATCACTCACCTAGAGCCAGACATCCTGGAATGTGAAGTCAAGTGGGCCTTAGAAAGCATAACTACGAACAAAGCTAGTGGAGGTGATGGAATTCCAGTTGAGCTATTTCAAATCCTNCTGATGCTGGGAAAGATTGAAGGCAGAAGGAGAAGGGGATGACAGAGGATGAGATGGTTGAATGGCATCACTAACTCAATGGACGTGAGTTTGAGTAAGCTCTGGGAGTTGGTGATGAATAGGGAAACTTGTTGCAATCCATGGGGTCACAAAGAGTCAGACACGACTGTGTGACTGAACTGAACTGAATTGAATTTACTGTCATTACTATATTGTCTTGACCTCTGGGGCTTCCCAGGGAGCACTAGTGGTAAAGAACCCTCCTACCAGTGTAGGAGTCAAAGAGAGGCAGGTTTGATCCCTGGGTTGGGAAGAATCCCTGGAGGAGTACATGGCAACCCACTCTAGTACTCTCGTCTGGAGAATCCCATGGACAGAGGAGTCTGGCAGGCTAAAGTTATTTAATATGTTACTATTATAACATAGGTTTCAAAAGTCTATTATTCTATAAAAGAAAGACTATAAATTTTTGACATATAAAATAGGTATCATTTAATTTACTGACATTATTGTTTTGTCTTACAGCTCATGGGGCATTCAGAATGGGACCACAAACGAGGGCCACGAGGATCACAGGTAAGTTTCTTTTCCTTTTTGGCATTTTGTTGCTTAACACTTGGAGCCATGGCTTTTCTAAAACTCAAGAAATAAGGACAGAGAAGAAGAGGCACAGCAGTGATGCCATTTGTTTTTATTTAAGTTAGCTGTAATTAAAGTCTGGTTTCAGATCCCAAGGGCAGATATCAGTATATTCCTCTGAAGAGCTTTTTAGTATCCCAGATTGGTTGTGTTCGTGTTCCTCTGAATAGAGATTTTATATTCATCTCATCTCTGCAGAACTTATTTTGATCAGCAACCTACTCTCTTGATTTTATTCACTTCCTTTGATAATTTTCCTATGTATTTCTTCTTGTCTCTATCTTCCTGGTTTTGGTTAAATATTTTGAAATATAATCACAGTAAACCCTGAACTAATTACAGATTTTGTCTCTAAATGAACTGTCTTCATCTTAGGGAAATAGAAAGATGAAAGGACCTATTATTTAGAAAAAGAAACAAATTATAAACCTTTCTATATTACCAGACTGTTCTCATTGTCTTGCTTTATGTCTTAGGCAAGGAGAAATCTTCCATGACGCATTTATGCTTTTTAATGACCTAATTAGACAATGTGGGTTTGTTTTGCTTTCAAAATTACTTTGCCTGACAGAATAAAGGCTGAATTTTACACTGAGAAAATTATCTCTCCTCCTCGGGTACTTTGCGAAGAAATAGAAAAATCACTTTTCTCTTAGTTGCCTACACTTACCTGACTGTAAACATGCCAAATAAAAAATGACACTAAAAATATGGTTAAGAGAAAGAGAATTGGATGTGCATTACTGCATATGAAAAATCATTTTGAAATATGAAATTCTCCCCAGGGTTTTACCAAGCTGACAAGACCTGTGCTGTCATTAAGTTTTCATAGATAACAGATTAATTTAGGTCACTGAGAAAGTACAACCAAGTCAGTCAGTTGTTTTTAGTGGCAAGTTTAATAGCTGTGTTTTCATTTCTGTCTGATAACAATTTGATGAGTAGATAATATAAATCAGTCCAATTAAATCAGCATTATCCAGAAGAATTTAGGTCTCACTTTCCCTTACTCTTACTTCTCCCTTTCTATTTTCTCCAACAACTTGCCCTCTGTACACATTTAATATTTTAAATCAGAATTTGCTGCCAGATTGGTAATGAATACATGGTAAATTATGTGTAATTCTAGACCTATCAAAGGTAAAGATGAGCAACAGTGAGAAACCCCAGGTTTCTGGGATAAGGGGGCTTCCCAGGTAGCATAGTGGTAGAGAATCCATCTGCCAATGCAAGAGACACGAGAGATGTGGGTTTGATCCCCTGGCTCAGGAAAATCCCCTGGAGGACAAAATGGCAACCCATTCCACTATTCTTGCCTGAAATAGTCCATGGACAGAGGAGCCTGGTGGGCTACAGTCCATGGGGTCTCAAAGAGTCGGACATGATTTAGCAAGTAAACAACAATAGAGTATCCCTTTATCTCACCTTGATTCTCAACTCAGATAAAAATTGTCAATGTCAAAAGCAAAAACAGTATGTATACATATAACTGATTCAGATTGTTGTACAGCAAAATCTTACACAGCATTGTAAAGCAATTATACTCCAATTAAAAAGCAAATAAGTGTTTTAAAAAGCAAGAACACTATTATATATATTCTTGTTTTTCCATTGTATGCAAATTGAAAGAAAAAGATGTACCATTTCTCTGTTGTATGTTGGATTATGTAGGAAATGTTTGTGAACAATTCAAAGAAAAAAAGATGAAAAAAAATCCTGTGGATGTTTTGTGTAGTATCTTTTGGCATTTGTATTAATAGTTTAAAAAGTTCACTTCCAAATAAAACTCCCATAATGCTAANGCTGTCCCTGTGGATCTGCTTGGAGCCAGATGTTTGTTATCCTGTGACCCAGGGTGAAGAAGCAGTTTCTGCTAGGGAGAGATCTTTGTGGAAAGATCTCTAGTGTGAAAGAACAAGATACATCACCCAAGCACATCTTAGGTTTCTGCTTTGATATGGCTTATGTTGGGCCTCACAGTGGCACTAGTGATAAAGAACCCGCCTGTCAATGCAGGAGACATAAGAGACGTGGGTTCGATCCCTGGGTCAGGAAGATCCCTGGGAGAAGGAAATGGCAACCCACTCCAGTATTCTTGTCTGGGAAATTCCATGGACAGAGAAACTTGGAGAGCTCCAGTCCATGGGGTCACAAGAGTTGGATATGACTTAGTGACTGATCCACCACCACAGCCATATGAGAGCAGATGTCAACTAAAGAGTACCAGGCATATATGTGATAATAGAGTTACATCAGGCAATAGATCCCAGAAGAAGAACATGAGAAGAGAAAAACAGAAGAAAGGCTGATTCTTGAGGGAGGCTCACCTTACAGGCTGAGAGGAGTCTGGGGAGGGAGTTAAAACATACACACGGGCTCAGTGGAGACCAGAGGAAGAACTAATGCAGAATTGAAAGCAGTGAGCATGCTGATAAGTTATACCCCAAAGAGGGCTGAGATCACAAACACAGGTTCAAGAAAACAAAAAAAACATGGGAAATGCTATTGAGTGTAGTGATGAGCAGGGCATTAGTGGGCTCTGAAAATGCACTTGCAGTCAAGCAGTGGTGGAAAGCAGAATACAGAAGTTAAGAAGAGAATTAGTGTGAGGTGGGGCTTCCCTGGTGGTTCAGTTGGTAAAGAATCTGCCTGCAATGCAAGAGATCTAGCTTGGATCCCTGGGTCAGGAAGATCCCCCGAAGAAGGGAATAGTTGCCCACTCCAGTATTCTTTCCAGGAGAATTCTATGGACAGAGGACCCTAGCAGACTACAGTCCATGGGGTCACAGAATCGGACACGACTAAATGACTAACATATTCACTTAACTTTCACTTTTTGATATGAGATAGTGGAAAGGTCTCTTGGAGGAGTTTTGTTTTAAAAGAAAAGTAGAATTAAGAAAGAGGTGAAAAATGACAAGGTCCCAGTGTATAGCAGTGAACTATATTCAATATCCTTTGATTAACCATAATGGTAAAGAATATAAAAAAGAATGGTGATGGTTTAGTTGCTAAGTCATGTCAGACTCTTGAGACCCCATGGACCATTCAATATCCTGTGATTAACCATAATGGTAAAGAATATAAAAAAGAATGTATGTGTGTATAACTGAATCACTTCACCGTAGAGCAGAGATTAATACAGCATTGTAAATCGGCTATACTTCAGTAAAAAAAGAAATAGCGATAGAAGTGAGGAAAAATTTTTTATGCCAAGGTGAGATATATGTCTTAATAACTGTTTATGGCAAAGAGGATCAGTGTAGAGGAGAAAACACTGGAAGTTCTCAATAGTGACCTATCTAAGGACTGAGAAAATAGTGTAGTTCAGGGCGGGGAATGCACTTTCTCTCAAAGTGGTCCTTTCACACCCGTTTATATGTTTTTCTTACCCTCCATCAGTCCCTACCCTGAACTCTTCCATTTACTCTAATTCAGAAAAACTGACAATATTCTTAAATGAATTATTAGGTAAATCCAACAATAAGCACTAATAAAGAAGCTTTGGAAAGAAAGTAGAGAAATTTATACCAGAACAGGAGACAATAAATGGGGACAGGTAGTACAAAAATGAAATGTTGTTTAGTCACTAAGTCATGTCCAACTCTTGCAACCTCATAGACTGTAGCCCACCAGGTTCCTCTGTGCATGGAGCTTCCCAGGTAAGAAGACTGGAGTGGGTTGCCAATTCCCGCTCTAAGGAACCTTCCGACCCAGGGATCAAACTCACATCTCCTGCACTGCAGGCAGATTGTTTTACCCCTGGGGCTTCCCTGGTGGCTAAGCTAATAAAGAAACTGCCTGCAATGTGGGAGACCTGGGTTCAATCCCTGGTTTGGGAAGATCCCCTGGAGAAGGGATTGGCTACCCACTCCAGTACTCTTGCCTGGAGAATTCCATGGACAGAGAGGCCTAGTAAGCTACAGTCCATGGGGTCACAAAGATTCAGATGTAACTGAGCAATTTTCACTTTCTTTTACCAATGAGCCACTGGGGAAACACTGTGAACCTGATGACTTCAGTTTTCTTGGTAGAGAAAGAGTATATAAACCTGGGGATATTACAGTGGAAAACCTTGAATGGCAGAAAATATACGGAGTACATTTGTTTTAGGTTTCCAAAAATGGGGACTGACTTGATGTGTGAGCATCAATAAATACCTGGTAGATAGCAGCGGACTGTCACACGTGTGAGGGGCAGCCTGCAAGACATATATTGGTGTTTTTCATGTAGAAAACACCAATATATGTCTTGCACTGTTTTTAACCTTCAAGGAGTCAAAAACAAACTATTTTGCCCTTCAGGAAGCAAGTATATAGTTTTATCTAAAGTCAGTATTAGCTAGGAGGAAAAAAAAAAATGATCAGCTCATATTGAGAACATTCATCACGACCAGGATAAAGTTAAACTTCTGACTTTCCTCCTATGTGCTTTCTAGACGGAAGTTTTTTCTCAAATTTGATGTCATCTTCCAAAATTGTATTATCACAAATAATAAAGTGTACCTTTCATATAAAATGCTTATAGAACAATGAATATCTTCAAGTTAAATTCAGCTCTTAATTGTATATGACTCTTCAAACTCAGCAATAATTTAATTAACATTTATTTATTTACTCTATTCTCAATAATTCTGTGACATAATTTGTCAGCTCACTCACACATTCAGGATGATGGTTTCTTCTTCCTTTTTTTTTTTTTTCCTTTTAGTATAAGCTCTCAAATACTAGATCATCCAAATTAGGGAAGATGCTAAATGATATATAAACTTCAGCAGCAGGCAGAACTCTTTTTCTGGCAACATTCCCAGTAATACCAAATGAAGTCAGAGGATAAAATTCTCAGAAGGCAATTACGTGCTTTTCTTGTTTTGTTTTCTCTTTGCTATAAATTCTTGAAGAAAAGCTTTTCAGTGGAAAGTTAAGAGAGATAATAGA